GAGGACCTGACACTTCATGGAAACTCTTGGAAATGGCTCCCGCCCTGGCACCGGAGGGGGCTGCGAACCTGGGGCGGGCGCTCACCCCTGCTGGGATGCTGAGCCGCGCTCGGATGGCGGGCCCCAAGGCGCTGTCCCTGCGCTCTGCCGTCGGCTCGGGCTGAAAAAGTTTCTCCATGGTTCCTTTGTGTCGCCCGAGCGCCCGTTCGCCAGCCCTGAGCTGCCCCAGTCTTCCTGGGTAAGTGAGCGATATTGTTTGCTTCTAGCGCTGCCATTTTGAGAAATTCTGTCTGTCCCCAGCCCCCGAGCAGCCCTCCCCAGCCCTCCTGCCCGAACCCCGGTCCCCCCCGCGGGTGTACAGGAGAGTGATTTTCCTGGGCGGGCTACACGGCTTGCGCTGCCCAGATAAAAGCGAGTTCAGGATTGTCCTCACTTCGCTCCTGCCTGTCTTCTCTCCAGAGGCGGACTCCCAGCTGCTGCACTCATGTGACTCCAACATAAATAAACAGACCTAAAAGAAGGGCAAGGGGCTCGCTGCCCTGCCAATGAGGGACCGGGGGTCGAGGACCTGGATTGAGTCCCAGGGAGGGCAGGGCGCTCCCAGCCTGCGGGCTCTGAGCCTCAAGACACAGAGTGGGGCTTAATCCATCATGAGCCGAGAACTTGAATGTCTCTCCTGGAAGCAGTTGTATTTTTAGACATCCCTCCTTTGCTTCCCCCATCCTCCATTCCTTAACCACGGAAAGACCAGCACCAGGCAGTAAATTGCTAGGGCAGCCAACCTCAAAGGCCAAGTTTATTTTCTTTCCTTATGTATGAAGAAAACCTCAAAGGTGGATCTTCCTTGCCTTCTGACCTTTGTCAGTATTTCACATGAAATAGAGATACATTATAAAAGCATTCAGGCTTCAACAGAGCTGAAGGAATAATAAACTAGGGAGTTAATTACTAGCTATTAAACTAATTTTAAAGGTCTTCTGTAAACGATTGAAATCCACTCCAATCTTCCTTACATTCTACCCAGAGCCAAAGCTGCCTTGCTGAGGAGAAATACATGTGTGTACCTTCCTCCCTGAAGACGTCCAGCATCCGTATCAATGCCCAACAAAATATTAGCCCTTCTCTCCTCTGGGAGAGCCACCATGCCAACTGAGTCTGGGCTGCTTCTAAAATCTCTGGCTTCTAAATCCTTCTTAAAATAATCACAGATCTCCAGATTATTACCATTAAAGATGCTGGAGTCTAGGGATCACTTAAAAGAGGAGTTTCTATGTTACAACCGTATAATAAATGTGCTCATTGGGGGAGGGATGGGCAGTAAGATACTCTAGGTTTGGGGGGTTGTTTGTTTTTTCTTAATCTGTACTTACTGGTGCAGCTCCTTCTTAAAACAAAATTTAAAAGGTTTATAGATGTAATCTACTAACCCCTCTCTAACCTACCCAGCATTTCTCCTTACTGAAAACCAACTAAATTCTCCAAGGAGATACTGATTTGCAAACATTGTAAATAGCTGATTACCATTTGCTTTTCCACCAGTGGAAAAAAGATCCTGCCTGTATTTGGCATAATGGAGGGAAATCAAGGGCCAAAGCTCTTCACCCAGGCACCAATTAAAAGCAAAATTCTACCTAAGTAATCCCACATTTTCAAAAGGTAATTTATTCTAAAACATGAATTATTTTATAAAGGATAAAATACCCAAAGGATTGTGAGTGATACCTAAGCCTTTTCAAATTCATACAATGCCCTTAATTCTAGCATCTCTATTATAGGAGGGAACACAACCAATGGAACAGAAAATGGTTTACTCTAGGGACCCAGCAGGATTGAAATTTTTAGAAGCTGACAGACATCCACAGAGGTGCCTCTGTGCATTTACCTACCCAGGTTTTATTATCAACAACTAAACTTCCTACCAGACAGTCCATTGATTGTCACCACCCTCCTTTCCTGATAATGACCTCATGAGAAAAAGATGAGGAAGCAGCTCTCACTTGGGGAGACGTCATTCCACAAATCATCATTATGTGGATTGTTGTACCTAGTAATTGCCTACTCATTTGAATATCTGGATTCCTTAGAGTGCTCTTGGCACAGTAATAAGAGGTCAGAAAGCTATTATGGCCGAATTTTTTTCTTTAAGATTGTAATTTTCCCACATAAGAAAAAGATCTTTCCCTTGGAGATCCTAGGGGACTTCTCAGATTCCCTGATGAGATCTAGCACATGGTACCTTTAAGGGAGTTCCTCTGAGAGAGGAGAGGAGGCCAGAAGGAAGAAAGCAGTTACATAACCAGTTACCTAAAACTAAATATTCCACCCCAAGAAGCTGTCCAGATGTTGCAGAAAAGAAATGAGGAAACGGCTGTGAAAGGGATCTGCTTGTCTTGAGCTGTAAGACAGTGGTAGGTAGGAGACAATTGGTGGAGGGATTAATAGAGCACTGACATCTCTGGTGTTCTCCCAGCAATGGACTCCATTAATTATCTGGGGTAAATAAGCCGTTTGCCAGGATTTAACTCCAGATTTTCATCCAGTGAAATGATTTCCTTTTGTCTTAATAAGACAGTAACTTTTGTGACTGTTTTAGGGACTTTGGGTCCCACATTGACAGAGCCCTCCCCCTAGTTTGGGACTTGGAACTCTGTGGCAGCTCCCTTGGGAAAGCTGTCCAGTGGGACAAAGGGAAAGGCTTTTGCCAGGAAAGCCCTCACCTACTTCTCTGAGTCCCCACGTTTGGTTTTTACTAATGGTCAGAATTCCACTGGCTGCCAGCCAGGAAGGTTTGAAATGAGTTATGCTGGGATATTACCTTGGGGGGGTGTATGGGAGGGGGTGGAAAGAAGGCGTTCTCTCAAAGTGTTTTATCATCTCCTACAGTGCTTTCCTTCTCTAATCCATTAATGGCACCCCCTAGTCTCTACATACGGCAGTCAGTCGGGTTATGGGTGGGGGACAGACACGTGGTAGGACCTGGGAGCAGGACAATGGCAGCGCGTGGGATGTTGCTGCAGCCAAGCCCTCTGACTATCTTCCTCTGCTTTGCAGCAGGAGGAAGTGGCGGAGCAGCTAGTGGGCAGCTGGTGCCCCCCTGCACAGGCCACCACCCCAGGGTCTAGCCCTGTTCCACTGGCTCGCCATGATCGCCACCGGAGGCCTGCTGAGGATTTCCGCCAGAAAGCAGGATCCCCTCCGCCCCCCGAGCCAGGTCCCCAAGCGCAAGCGGAAAGCCAAAAAGAGGCGAAAGAACGACGTGGTGGTGGTGAAAGGCAAGCTGAAGCTATGCTCCATTTCCGGGCTCATCGCCCTCTGCGGGATCCTGGTGCTGCTGGTGGGCATAGCCATGGCCGTGGTGGGCTACTGGCCCAAGGCCAATGGGACCAACAGGGAGGGAGTTAAGCAGCTGCCGCCCGCGGGCAGCGGCCGCCGCGCCCCAACTATGACCAACAGCAGCAGCAGCAGTGGCAGTAAAAACCGGTCCAGGAACCACGCAGGGATTCCAGACGGTGTCAATGCCAGTTCCGTGGGCGCGCCCAGGAGCACGCCTCCAGCGCGGTCCCCCGCCCTCTCTTCGTCGTCCTCCTCCTCCTCGTCAGTGGGTTTCTTCTTCCGCATCTTCTCTGGCTACCTGCACTCCGACAAGCTCAAGGTCTTTGGACCCCTCATCATGGGCATCGGCATCTTCCTCTTCATTTGCGCCAACGCCGTGCTCCATGAGAACCGGGACAAGAAGACCAAGATCATCAACCTGAGGGACCTCTACTCCACTGTCATCGACGTGCACAGCCTCCGTGCCAAAGACCTGGCGGCTGCCG